TACTTCCTGTGGTATTTCTACATGTTTTAAAACTTGAACAAAAAACTGAGTGTTGAGGTTTTTAAACCATTTATTTTGTTGCTTTAAGACATGAAATTCTGATTTGGCCTCTTCTGTGTTCATTAAAATATTGAGAGGAATATATGATTTCAGTTTAATTTTGCTTTAGCATTTTTTTTATTTTTTTAACACAATTCATCCTTTGGCCCCTTGAAAACCACTGCTCCTAGAGGCTTTGTATCCATCCAAGTAATGCATTAAAGCAATGCACATGCACAAACACTAAACTAATTTAGACAAATCCATGTTTTTATTAACAGTACTGAGTTCAACATAAGTGCTTTATAATTCTAAAGCATATATTCCATAAGGGCAAAGTGCTGAATATATTTCATAAAGCTATACGCTTAATGAATTTTGTGTACCACATGTAGGAGGTAGCTGCACACAATCCATACCTAAAAAAAAAACAAAAAATAGTTCACCTCATGCTCATCTTTAAGATTACAATCAAATAGTTCCTAAATGGTTTTTAAACTTTTTCTTTTTCAATTCAATAGTAAATGCAGGATTTAAATAAAAACAGATTCTGTTTTAAGGCATGACAATAGATTAGTCATGTTTAATTAAACAAACCATGTGATGACATATTGCATGTGTTCATTCCTCAAGGTCACTCTTGTCTGCCCTCCTATTGGCCCACCAGGTATTGTGCTGTCTGAATGAAAAAATAAGATTTTAACAGACTCACCCACTTTTCTGATCAAAACGTTTTATAAGTTTGTACACCATACATTCACCAAACATTAGTATTAAGAGCAGCTCTAACCAAGTACAGCATCAATGAAGATTTCCTCAGCACCAGTGACCTTCGCCATGGACTCCAGGTCACGATAGTGCCACCTATTTGCCTCCACATTGTTTTGAGGGATGAATGGTTTCCGCTGCTCGGTTAAACGCACCACACCAACAAGATCCACATCCTCAATCACCTTTTAGAAAATATAAACACCCCTTTAACATTTAGAGAGATAAAGAAAATGTAATACAAAAATGAATATGAAAAATCAAAAATCACAAAGATAAAATTAAGCAAGTAAGACCCTTTGATAATGTTTATGCTTAGATTTGATTCAGAAGAGCTTAAGAAAGACAGTATTACCTGTCCCTTCATCCTGGTTTCTGGTCTGATCTTATCTTTTGGTACATAACCTCTGTTCACCAAGATAGTGATCCTAAAAAATGGATCCAGAAGGTTTTTACACACCCATATCAGAGTGCAAAGCAAGTGTATGTAATTAAGTAAAATTCAAATTGTGTGTGTTTGTACCCCAGATCACTACAGTAGAATGGTGTAATGACATTAGCTCCACTCTGCCCACTGGAGGAAATCCTGCCTGCCTCCCGGGCCTCTCTCTCAGGGTCCACAGGGGAGCGGGGCAGGACATACAGCTCTTTAGAGTGGTCAAAGTGTCCACGCACCTTTACTCGCCTGTATTC